CTGGACATCAGGGAATTAAACGCACGACAGATAGAATCCTCGAGGAGTTCTACTGGCCAGGAGTTCAAGGAGACGTTACTCGATTTGTAAATTCGTGCGACACCTGCCAGAGAACTGTCCCAAAGCACCTAGTAGGCTGCGTACCTTTGGGCAACATGCCAGTCATCGAAACACCATTCCAGCGGGTCGCCATCGACATTGTGGGACCCCTATCTCCAACATCTGAGAAGGGAAACCGCTATGTACTCACCATGGTTGACTTCGCGACGCGCTACCCTGATGCGGTTGAGTTACCAAGCATCGAAACGGAGAAAGTCGCCGAGGCTTTACTAGAGATGTTTTCACGTGTGGGATTTCCCAGAGAAATCATTAGCGATCGCGGCAGATCGTTCATGTCTGGGCTCATGAGGGAGTTCAGCCGGTTGCTTTCGCTTAAACATATGCCAACCATGCCGTACCATCCTATGGCAAACGGCCTTGTGGAACGTTTTAACGGCACGCTGAAACAAATGATCCGACGAATGTGTCAGGAAAGCCCCAAGAGCTGGGACAGATACTTGGCACCACTGTTGTTTGCATATCGTGAAGTGCCACAGACCTCCCTCGGGTTCGCACCTTTTGACCTACTGTACGGTAGATACGTCAGAGGACCCATGGCCATATTGAAAGAGCTCTGGTCAGGAGAGAGTATCGACGACGAGACAAAGACTTCGTACGGCTACATAGTCGAGCTTCGGAAGCGCTTAGACGACACGTGCCGAATAGCCCAAGAGCAGCTCAAGAAAGCGAAGATGACACAGAAAACCTATTATGACAAGAGGACAAGGAGGCGCCAGCTCACTGTTGGAGACAGGGTCCTGCTCCTTTTGCCATCCGACACCAACAAGCTGATCCTGACCTGGAAAGGCCCCTTCACTGTTTTAGAGAGACGAAATGACGTTGACTACGTCATCGACCTTGGAACAAGAACCAGCTTGTTCCATATCAACATGCTGAAAAAGTACGAAGAGAGGACAATCGTTGATCAGACACCTCAACGAGCTTCGGTCGCATTCCATGATGGGAATGTTGAGGAAGAAGACCTCCCGTGTGCAACACTGCAACAAAACGAAACTTATCGAGACGTGAAAATATCAAGGGAGCTGACTGCCGATCAACGAGCACAAGTTTCCAGACTCCTGACAACATACCAGGAAAGTCTGTCAGATGTCCCAGGAAGGACCCACCTGGTAGAGTGCAAGTTGAAAGTCACGACCGACACTCCTATTCAAGTCCATCAGTACCCCATACCATTCTCCATCCAAGAAACGGTACAGGAGGAAGTAAAAGAAATCCTACAACGGGGCATCATTGAGCCCTCCGAGTCACCCTATCAAGCACCCATCGTGATGGTAAAGAAAAAAGACGGGACAATGCGACTCTGCATTGACTTCAGACAACTTAACAGGGTCCTGATTCGCGACAGTGAACCCATCCCAAGAGTGGACATGATGTTTGCAAAGTTGGGAAAAAGCCGGTACTTCTCGAAGTTTGACTTCTCTAAAGGATACTGGCAGGTTCCGATGCACGAAGGTTCAAAGCACATGACAGCTTTTTCTTCCACGTCTGGATTTTATCAGTTTTGATTTATGCCCTTTGGCATCAAAACAGCACCAGCTGTATTCACCCGGCTTATGAGAAAAGTGGTCGAGGTGGTCTCGAACATCTACCACTACTTTGATGATGTCCTCATCGCCACGGAGTGCTGGGAGGAGCATTTAACGACTCTGGAGTTGTTCTTCCAGCGCGTGAAGCAGGCGGGTTTAACGATCCGTCCCACAAAGAGCAAAATTGGTTTCGCATCTGTCAAATTTCTTGACCACATCGTTGGGCATGGTCTCCTGCGCCCTCAAGTCGAAACCCTGGAGAAAATTCAAGCTACCGATCGACCCGAAACAAAAAAGGAAGTGCGATCTTTCCTTGGCCTTACGGGCTACTATAGGGATTTCGTACCCCAGTACTTTAAAATCTCTCACCCACTTACGGAGTTGACACGTAAAAGAGCACCAAACAAGGTGCATTGGGGGAAGAGCGAACAGGCGTCTTTTGACAAACTAAAAGAACTATTGTCCAGCCAGCCCATCTTAAAAGCCCCAGAATTATCAGAACCTTTCGTGTTGCATACTGACGCTTCGTCGAGAAGCATAGGAGCCGTACTCATGCAGCGCCTTAATGATGTTCTCCACCCCGTATCGTACGCAAGTCGTCGACTGTTTCCACGTGAAGCTGCCTACTCGACAGTGGAACGAGAAGGACTAGCTATTACTTAGGCGGTTAAGAAGTTTCATGTGTTCTCATTTGGAACACCATTCATTCTGCAAAGTGATCATCAGCCACTCGTTTACATCAATTCTGCAAAGCATGTAAACAGTCGCGTATTACGTTGGAGCCTAATGCTGATGGAATATGACTTTACTGTTGAGTACATTAAGGGTAGTAACAACGTGGGCGCTGATTACATGAGCCGCATGTCTGTTGCTGAATAAAATTTTTTTTTTTGTAAAGGAGCAATATCACGAGTTTACTGAATTTTTGGGATTGTATGTGTGCCCGGCGGTGCTAATTAAGTGACTTTTGTAAATGTATGTACTTTTGTGTCTGTCAAAAGTGATGTGTTTTTCAATGTGCATTGTGTTGTGATAGACTGCGAACAATATGACTTCAACGTGCTAGAAGTTGTTTCAGCTGAACAACATTCTCAAGTGGGGAGTGATTGTGGTGATTTCGGGGTCAACAAGGTGGGAGCAAGAAAATGAAGAAGAGAACAAGACAAGAGCAAGCAGTTGGCACGAGAAAAAAGACCGAGACGAGAGACGAAGACGAAGTACAAAACGTTCTCGGGACGGACAGGGCAATCATCAAGCTCACGGGGGCGAAGGCTTGCAGCTATACGCAAGGTCTTCACCCCATGTCGAAGTCTTGCAGCTTTACGGAGGACCTCGTTCCGCCAAGACGGCACAACCAAACCCGGACTCCGCCGCTGCACCACCAACGAGAAAATGAACTCTGATGAAGCTCGTCGCATCCGTGAACTGTATGACTTCCATTAGTATCGTTTCTTTTTTTTTCCCTTTTCTTTTTGTACTTATGTCATTCGCGCTTAAATCTTGTGCTTTTTGTTTTAATCGTTGTATTATCTGTCGAAATCTAAAGTTTATTTTTCTTTCTATCTATCAAACTGGTCTCGATATCCTTTCTCTTCGCGTCGCATACCTGCGAGAGTGAAATAGTCCACTACAGTCGTAAAATTCGAAGCGTGTTTTTTTTTTGTGTGTATTTATTTTTTGGTGAAATTGTGAGGTTATCGAAGCTGGTTTTTGCTGGATTTCCAATTCCTTAAAATTAGTCGTTTATTTTACTGTGTTGTTATATTTAAAATAAAATTTAAAAAAAATCCGGGTACTATGACCCGTTGTCTTGACGTGCTAGCAGGCACACCCCTTTTGCTAATAGTTATAGATTTCAAAGAAAACTTAAGTGGCATGACCTCAGCACCTGTGACCCGGTGCTCTTTTGAAGTGTGTTTATAAAACATCGTCTTTTTGTTTTTGTTTTATTCTTGTGACCTCAAAATTCGAAGCGTTTTGGGTAAATTCGAACTGACAGAAAAGTTACCGGCGAAAGTTTTTTCATTTTTTTTTTTCAGATTTGTCCCAAAACACGGACATCTAGTTATATCTCAGCTCACTCTATTCAAACAATATATCCTCTAAGCACTATATACGCATCCGACGTGTGTTCGTGAAAGTACCTAAAAAGTATTTGAATTAAAGTACAAAGTTAATGTGAAGTTATGTACATCAAGTGATGTAGTAAGTACACCGGGCACAATGTACTTTAAGTGAAGTAATATATATGCAATGTGTTTTCAAAGCAAACTACAAGTACTTTTAGCACAATCCATGTTTAGTTCTCTTCCTATATTTTCCCCGCTAAATGGATACTTAAAACAGTAAGCTCGTTACCACTATTGTTTTATGATGCCCATTCATTTTACTGTGCATTGTTTTTAAACGGTATGCATTCCTACATCGGTTAATCGGGGGTGAATCAGTCATTTTTGGAAATGGCAAATATTAGATAACATCAAGTAGCCACAGTGTAGATGTTTTACTCTCGTTGACGAACAGTTGGACTCAATAAACGTGTAAGGCAGTTACCTGTTCACAAAGCATCATGTTGTGAATCAAAAACAATGCAAAATTTTGGGAATGTATTTTGAAGTCGGTAGTTGCACTTCCCTAAAAAAGGCACCATAAACATACTTGAATTAAAGTACAAGTGCATACTCGGAAGTTGGACTTTAAGAAAAGTAAATGTTTTCTTTTTCTAAGCGTAATTAAAATATTACTTTAAGTGCAACGTACTTCACGTACTTCCCAACATTGGCTAAAAGTCTGAATAAGTTTATCACAGTGAGCGACTGGAAGGCGTTTTAAGATATTAGAGGGTTTGCATTTAAGCTATATACTTTTTTTCACGAGACTGTACACCCCCCCCCCCCCCCCCCAAGGGCTGGATACAAAATCATAATGGCAAAGTCACAATCACACCCAAATTAATATTACTCGCCCAAATTGTTCTTATTATCGTGTTCGACACCGTTGATTACCACCTGATAAAAGCTTCTGCATTTTTATTGAGCAGAAAGGAAGGGGTGGAGGGCACTGCCATATATTTCTTACCTAACCGAACACCTGCAGAGGAGCATACCAATTCTCAACCCGAGCTATAAAGAAGAAGCATAAAGAGGTGCCCCCATATCACTCTGTTCCGGCACTAACGAACTGCGACTTGAGTCAATGAAAACATCCTGCCAATTGTACTCCCCTTTGAAGGGCCCTTAGGATCGTGTTCCTGATTCCGTTTCTCTTCCTTTTTTTTTTCCTACTCTTCGCCTCTTCCCTTTCTTCCCCTCCCCTGGCGACTGTACCCTGGGGGCCCTCGGCTTGACGCCGCAGCCGTGCCGGGTATCCGTAACGAGAAAGAGTATGCCTGCTGTCCGGAGCCGTACATCGACATCACGTACACGATACACATCCGGAGGCGGACTCTGTACTACGGCTTCAATCTCATCATCCCCTGCGTGCTCATCTCCTCCATGACCCTCCTCGGGTTCACCCTGCCTCCCGACACTGGAGAGGGGCTCACCCTGCGTAAGTTCCCACTTTTCCTTCCTCCCCTACTTTTGGTGGGAGCGGAAATTCGTCGTTGTCGACTGGTTCCCCGGTTCACTGACGGTTAAGCTCTCCAGATTTTCCCTAAGGCAACTGTGCTTATAATCATAAACGGCAAAATATACGGAAGGTAGAATATAAATGAGTACTGGATTAATGCCTCTTTGACAAAAACGCAAAAATAAGATTATTGTAAAAAAAAAAAGGATTTCAGTTAATTAGTGTAAAAGGGTGGTAAAAAAAGCCTTCGGATATCTGGTTTTTCCAGCCAGCCTTTCTTTAGATTCCTTAAAGAAACAGCAGCGGCCAATCTGCACCCTCCAAGGAACATCACAAAAGCGTCGCAGTGTCAGGAGCGTTATTACATGCAGTAACCGTGAGCTGCGAAGTCAGGGAGTGATGTCACGTCACGCTACAAGGGTGCGTTACGTCAGGTTACGTAACGTAACTTCACGTGACGCCACCACTTCACACAGTGATGTTAGGTTGCCAAACTGCACAGATCTGCGTATAGTATACCGGCAATACATTCTGCATACCGGAGCTCTTATCCGGGAGATCAAAGGAGCGCAATCATTTTTAAGGCTTCTGTTTCTTGGACCGAAGCTCTCTTTTATACGAAATTGCTAATGTGAAGTCAACCTTGATGTGTGTGTATGGACTGGCACTTACATATGATCAACTAACAATACTGACCACATTTCATCAGAAAAATTGATTATTCCCAGAACACCCTTCGGCCTGAGCCTTTTTTCACAATCTCCCAATGTAAGATATAAAAATGTAAATTAGGCTCACACTACTCATATAAAATTTCACATTTGTCTGCCAAGCAATATGCCTTGGAGGTATAAGTTTTTCGACCAAATTGAACAGCTCTTCGAATGTCTTTTACTGCTCTTTCAAACAAAGTTCAGCCAGCGATTGCAAGAACTTAAATTGAAAACGTATGAATCCTACGTGCCTAATAAAATCAGATATGCCTCGAGAGACCAGCGACCAAATGAAGCTACAGAACTGCAATACTTTCCGGCCACATTAATATATTTTTTTTTTGCCTCAAGAATCGTTTGTGATTTCAACGTGCTTTAAATGAAAAGATTATTTCACATAAAAATAAAAAAGCAAATGATCCTTTCTTAGTAAGGATAAAATGAAACCGCAAAACTTCCAGATAAGAAAAAAAAAAAACGAGGAGGAGACTTTAAAGTAAAATAAAGAGAAGGTGCTTTTGTGCTCACATCAATACCACGCACGCTCAAAAAACTTTCTTGCTCCAGAAAGCCTTTCGCCAATCCACGACCAAAGCTGAACCTTTTAAAGCATCGATAGGCAAACAGCGCGGCAAATACATATAGCTTAACTCAACACAGTTCCGCGTGCATACCAAACAAGTCAGGATCCGTTAAAACCAAGTGCTCCACCCCAACCCCCGTCAACGCCCCCTTTAGGTCACAATGTGCAGCATAAGAATAAAGACGGGCGCGTATCTTCCATATCTTCAATACGAACACTCGAAAGAGACGTGAAGTGTAACGAAGCTAAGCGAAAAAGCGCCAGGCGAGCAAAGATGCATTTTCAATTTCCTGAATACATTCCGTGCTCGGGGGATCCTCACCAACGCGTTCGATATCTTCTGCTTAGAGTTGACTTGAACTGGTGGAGAAACAACGCGCGTTGCGTATTCACCTTTTTTTTTTTTCAAAAGGGATGTTTTTTTATTTATTTTTTGTATCCTGACTTTGCGACTTTAGTTTTTCGTGATGTGCAAAAAAAAAAAAAAAATTACGTCGATACCTCAGCCCACAAAAGCATAGAAATCTCGACGCAGTTCGATACCCCTGAACGCAGGAAAACAAAATGATTACGATAGAAACGAGGCTTGCAACTGAAGCTAGAAGAAAACCGTAGCTCAATCCGGATTCCAAGCCTTTCCAGGGGAACAATCAAAGACCTTGATTATTAAGTTAAAATGTGGTACTCTAAGAACTGCTAATACGAAACAAATTATAAAGAGATAATTATATAATTGATAACGCGACGTCACAGTACACGACAGAACGGTAAGGTCAGAGGAACAAGAATCTACAGGCACCTTGGTCGGTCGCTTTGTTATTTTGGCGACGTAACATTTTAAGCTTTTTGCTACATGTACCCTTTTTGTTTTCCTTTAGCTTGTATTGTGGAGATTTCATGTGTTCAATTGTTGTATTTTCGCCTAATAAAACATCTGAGCACCGCAAAAATAGTATCTGGGAGCTTAGTTCCTGAACGTATTCGCACCGCAGATTGCTGTACTTGGAGCGAAAACCCACGCTGCAGGACCAAGGCATCTTGAGCTCAATCTCCACCCTGTCCGTTTAGATCTTAATGAGAATCGTTCCGGCGTGCGGTGCTCCGATCACTAATGCATGAGTACACGCCGAAGACTCCAGACTAGCAGTCGTACTGCACTGGCTAATTGTATCTTCTACAGCGTGGACCATTGTCGTCATACATGCACAGACCGACCTCGCGTTCTCCAAACAAACAACGATTTAGCTTCTCTGTTTTGTTATCGAGGAGCACATTGTGTTCTGGGATTGCGGTTGACCGACAAGAATTTATATGAGTTTCTTTTATTTATTTTTTTGCATTTAATACATACATATTAAATGTAACGTGGAGAAATCTGTCAGCCGCAAGCTACAACTCCAACGAGTCACATTAAATTTCAAGCGTGAGATTATAACCCACGAAATACCTTAAAAATTTTTCTTTCTTTTAAGAGACTTCAATATCAATATCGATGACACAAAACATTCATCTATCTGGGTGGCAACATGGCGGAGCAATCGCAAAGTCACTCTAACAAAGCCTAGGACCAAAAAGAGACAAGAAAAAATAAAACTTAGAAGCAAACAGCAACTGACAAAGGCTTTACGGGAAACATCGAAAGGCCATCAAGTCTTGACCAAGTCTCCAAGTCTGTCGGCCGATCCCAAAAGCGTAGCAACAGCTGGTCGGTCCGAACTGGGAGAAGTCGTAAAAAAGGAGTGGAGCAGGCAACAAAAAGACCTGGCTTCCTCTAGAAAGCTAAATGAACCCAAGATCACACAAAGAAGGCAGAGAGGTGATCCGGCAGAGCTCCGTTTATCGACCACTCTCTCGTTCACCTGACTCGTGGATTTCGGAGGGCTAGGAGGTTTTGGAGAAACGTCGAATGGCGGTGCCGCTGCACTCGAGTGTAAACCGCCCAAGGCGTTTTTTTGTTGCCACACAAAAAAAAAGAGAGTTCCTCCGCAATTTCGTGTGAACCGACCAACGAGTTGGAAGTCACGCAGATGAACTCCCAACGATGAAGGTCCGAACAAAGAGAACAGAGTAGGATTGTAGATCGAGATGCTTGCGAAGGTATATCTATAGTCTATATTCCGTTTGAACTAAGAGACCGGCCGCAGGCAAATGCTACACTCAAAAAAAGTCTGTGCGCCTACTTTCACGCACAACACTCGGAGAGCCTATCACCTCAACTTACGGAGGCAGCTCAGCGAATGACGATGCCGAAACATATGTTTAGACCAAAAAAAAAAAAACAGTCTGAGTTGTGACATTAAGCAATGCAAAACGTCACGCCTGCGTAGCTTAATGTCACAACTCAGACTGCTTTTTTTGGTCTAAACATATGTTTCGGCATCGTCATTCGCTGACCTGCCTCCGTAAGTTGAGCTGATTGGCTCTCGGAGTGTTGTGCGTGAAAGTAGACGGACAGACTTTTTTTTTAGAGTGCAGCATCCGAGAGAGCTAATCAGGTAGCGCGAAAAGTGCGCCATCATGGCGACGTCGGCCTACCAATCACGCTCAAAGAAAATAACCTGTGGGGTCATGCGGTTTTTACTGTACGTAATTGATTTGATCTGGGATAGCAAACTCACAAAAACAAAAAGTAACCAGCCACATGCATCTCAATATCACCTCGCAGCCAACGGGATTGCAGCATTATACTCAATAAGAACGCCGACGGACCAATCACACAGCAAAAAGCGTCATTAACATAAGAAACCGCTCCCTTCGTCTTTTATAAGCTGTCAGTGACTAAATATTTTTTTTTCTATCCAGGTGTGGACAAGTGGTACTACGGGTTATAATATCGACGCGTTCTGTCTCTTCGATGAGAATGTCCCGTTCTATTCTCGTTCTTTCTTTTTTTTTCGTGCATCAAATCTATAAAAATAATGATGAGCCGCTTAAAAAGGCACATCATTGAAGGCGGATGTCCAGGATTCGGCTGAGTCATAAGGTGTTTTTTTATGAGGAGGCTAAGGATGCCATTAATACATGATTTTAAAAATATCCGCTAATGGGCGCGTTCGTAACGCGCAGCTTTTGTTAATTTAATGGCCTTCCGGGGCACGTACCGCGTTTCGGTGCTTTTAATCCCTAGAATAATTCTCGTGTTTCGTCGCCAATTATCACGCCACTCCTATTACTACCTTTCGTTCCCTGGTCTGCAAGATATAGGATCCGTGACGAGCTAAAATTTGAATGAGTAAGATTCGGAATAGACGAAATTAAAAGAGGGTGAAAACAAAATTTTGGCGTTCCCGTAGTGGTGCCATTGTCGCGATAGTCTCAGACACCTCGTATTATAGGCGTAAAACCGAAGAGCGCCCCTGTTTATTTGAAAAAAAAGGTAGCCCCAGAAAGTAGGCTGTGCGGATTTCTTAGTTTAACTTCCTCAAGATCTCAAGATCCTCAAGAAAGATGTTATAAGTGTTGGCACGAGCGATGTCTAAACGCCGTTATAACCATTTTAGTCAACTCAAGCTAGATTAAAATTAAAAAAAAAAATTCTGTGATAACTTGTTTTTAATTTTTACTTTTATAAAAAACAAAAATATCACAATCATGTGTATAACATACCATCGAAATTTTAAAAACTTCCCAGAGAAATTAGCAGCGGCGCATGGAGACACAGAAGAGCACTTTGACATCATCAGTTGTTAAACATAAAACTTAGGGTTTAACACTCTCCATGTAAATATATTTAATGGCACGCTGACAAGGAAAACTATTTCCGAAAAAAGTTACATTCTATTTTTTATTTTCACCGTTATTTTACCGTATGTTTCAGCGACCATCGGTCATACCTTTCCCACGAAAACT